AAAAAAAAAAAAAAAAAGACCCATTTTATATGAAGGATATTAGCCCAGCATCTGTGTTATATACATGCAGACTTTAGAATTAGTTTGCCCAACCACTCGCCTCCATGAAACCTTCCTCCTTCACACCCTCTCTCTCTTTTAACAGGGTGCAAGAGAAGAGAGCGTTCACCTTGTTCGACATTTTTATAAGGTAATTGGCAGAGCACAGGTGGACAGCAGCGTGGTGTATCTTATAGAAACAGGATTGTGGTGTCTAGTCCTATACATGTAAAGGTTATGTCTTAAGTTATTTTTTGTACCTGAGCAAAAATGTTCAATTTCATCATCTCAGAGCAGCAATCTCTGAACTTTTCTCCCCATGTTCTCTTATCATTAAAATTTTTGAGGACTCAGCCCTACCGTATGACAATTTGCTTATCAGTTATCTGTGGATTTATTTAGGAATTTATATGTAAATTGTGAATTACATATGACTAAATTATACATGGTGAACTTATATTCATGAGCTATATACGCTTATACATATGAAATTACTTATGAATTACTTATACATATGAATTACCTATTAATTTATGATATACATGCAGATTATTTATATACATATATACTAAGAAAGTTCATACAGGCTTCTAAACTTATTAAGTTTAGTGAGATTTTGTAACGTACTATCATGACTGACTGGTCATATCTGAATAGTCATAAATATCTGAAAAATTCGTACAGCTTTGTCTTTTTGTCTTTGTCTAATTATGATGGTTTGTTTAGCTCTAATCTTAAGAAATACATTTTAGTCCATTTAGGCTGCTGTAAAAAAATATTGTGAACTGAGTAGTTTGTGAACAGTAGAAATTTATTGCTCACAATTCTGAGGGCTGAGAAATTCAAGGGAAATTTGGTATCTAGTTAGGGCCTGCTTTCCTATGAATGGTCCCTTCTTGCTGTGTTCTGACATGGTGGAAGAAGCAAGCAGTCCTTCTGGGGCCTCTTTATAAGGCCACTAATCCCATTCATGAGGGCTTCACCCTCATGACCTAATCACCTCTGAAAGGCCCTGCCCCTTCTCCTGATACCACCACCTTAGAGGTTAGGATTTCAACATATGAACTGGAGAGGATGAAAACATTCTGACCTTACCTGTGTAATATCCCTTAGATAAGGCTCATCACTTGTTAGTTATTGTGGATTAATCCATATGTCAAATAGTCTTATTAATTTTCTAATATTTTCAGCTGCCATACCTGTGCAGTTCCTATCACTGATTGTTTTGCCTCTTAACATGGCTGATGAAGATCTTCCTAGGAGGAGGAAAGGTGTCAGCATTGCCATTTTTTTATTATTCACTTTTGTTATTTGTGGCCTTTTATTTATTATTTATTATTATTTATTATTATTTATTATTTATTATTATTTATTATTTATTATTATTTATTATTATTTATTATAAATAAAAATTATTTATTATTTATTATTCACTTTTGTTATTTGTATATTGTGGCTGATTCTTTGCAGAAATCTTTTTAAGCCACTATATCTATTATTGTCAGTGTGTGCTGAGATAAAATGAGCTCATGTAATCTAGAAGCCCACCTCTCCAGGTTCAGATGGCACCATCTAGCTGCAGCAGTGCCAGACAAGGGCGGTACCACTGTGGCCACACTGAGGGGAATCCCAGCTCCCCTTCCTATTCCAGGCACCCTTGACCTCTCAGTGAGGATATACCCTTCTAGCAAAGCTTGAAAGAAAGCAGAACACTCACAGTTGCACTAATCATCTTTGAATCTCTTGCCTGTACAATTGCTCTAAAAATCTTGTAAGGACCTCAAAAGGTTTTGGATTGTAAAAACAAAAAGACATACAGGTGGACATTTTTTCAGAGGGTTATTCTTTTTTCTTAATGAATTCCTATCCAGATTTTTCTCTCTTGCTTTTATCCTATAACATTTATACCCTACGTATAATGTTTCAGAAGCTTTTGGATATTTTTAAGGATTGTCATTTCTTTTGGTGGTGCTAATATCACACAAAGGTGTTCAAGTTTATCTGAAAACTGAAAAAATATAAAAAAGAGTTTTTCCCTTTCCCACTCCATGTATGTATGTGTGTGTGTGTGTGTGTCTCCTTCAGGACCAATGAGAGAGACAGGATGGCTCTAGCAGACTTTGTTCAGTAGAGGTTACAGTGACAATGAGTGCTAACATTTACCCAGGTATAAGTGACAGGCCAGTGATAGGCCTGTTCTATGCACCGTGAGACTCATTTCACTCCACAACAACTGGCAGAGGCAAGAGCTGTCACCCCATTCTTGAAGCAGAACAAAGGGTCTTTGAATGGTAAAGCTTGGCTTTGGCTCCTGGTTTACATGTCTCAGAGCCGAGTTCTTGCCCTGTCCTGAAGGAGGCCTCCTGGGCACAGCCAGGACTCTAAGGAACTATAAAACCCCAAAGGCCATCCTCGAGAAACAGATGGTTACTAATTTTTTGACTGTGGGGCTCTGGTACTGCCTGAGCCGTTGGTCCTGCACTAAGGTACTTAAAAGCATTATTAAAAAGGTGTGGATCCCTCTGAAGCCCTGCTAAACCCAGGGTTTCCAGGCTATTGGGGTGGGAACAGGGTTGATGATCCTGATTGTTTATAAAATCACGAGTGCTAATAAAGAAGAGAAGCTTTGAAACTACCCCTCCTGCTTGTGCTCACCATTGAGCAGCCTTACTTGGAGGGTGCCAGACATGAAACATCAGTCTGCCAGTAAATATAAGTAAGCTGTGTTATATGGCAACATGGAACGTCACTGTGCGCTTTTATAAGTACAGTGAGCTTCATGGCATGAGGAAGTGTATCTGTAAGATGCACCAAAAAAAAAAAAAAACCCACAAAAATGAAAACAAAACAAAAAACCAAATGGAATAAGCAATAGAATTTTAGTGTTGAGTTTATTTAATTATACTTATCCCTTTGGAGGTGTGGCACCTCATATTTTTAACATGGCAACTTACCCAGGTTTTTCCACTTCTCCAGCCATTCTCCATGAATAGATGATTTTAAACAGCGGAAATATTAACCTTTCCTATATTTTAAATATATATAGTATTCTGTTGTTTTTTAATTAACTGCTTTGACAGAAGAACTCTTAACTCCATATACTTTAAAAAGGAGGAAAATGTTGCATAGTGCAATTTGAGATTTGGTCTGTCATTTGAGCATGCATGTTCATGTTCACATGTGTATTTTACTTCCTGGTGATTTACGAGAACTCACTAATGAGAAACAGATGGCCTCAAAAGCCGCGAACTAAAGTTTATAATACTCTCTTGTTTATGGAAAAAAAATGAATAATCTTTTCTTCCCTCCCTTTTTAGGGAGAAGAAATCTTTTTGGACATGTTTGAAGATGAGTACCGGAGCATGACAGTAAGTGGGGTTCAGAAAACACCTGCGCTGGCCTGCAGCCCTACCCCGGCCAGGCTCGCCTGCCAGACCTGGGGAGGACTCTCTGACTTGGGGGCTTTTTGACCAAATGGCAAAGATTGATGGGGAAGTAAATTTAAAATGGTGCCTTTTGATTGTCACATTACATTCACTCCCCCTAACTTGAGCCACATCAGTAAAATTGGTCAGAAAGATTCACTTTGATATAAATAGTATTTGGTGGGCAGGGGTGTCTTTTTATTAGAGACTTATTCCATGGCAGATGTTTATAGCATGTTGTATAAAATCTCTTTATCCTTGTATCAGCCAATGGGAGCAGTTCTGTCATTGTCCCCTTTTTTCCAGTGAGGAAACTGAGAGTCAGAAAGGTCAAGTGATGCCCCCAAATCTGCTTGGCCAGTGAGTGGCAGAGCCAGGCTTGCAAAGCAAAACACTTTACCTCCCAATCCCTGTGCTTCTCCGTATGTTATGTTGGCTGCTCCACCAGAATGTTCCAGCACACGGCTCTTCCCTAAATCTGCAGCCCCAGCACAAGGGCTTTGCTTTCCCTCCAACAGACAGAGTCCACAAAGTAACAGTTCTCTCTGCTGTGCTTGTTTATGTCTACAGCCCTAGCACCTGCCTGTTAGGAGGCTTTCAAAAAATAGATGATAGAGGACTCTTCCCTCCAAATATTACCCACCAAACCATAAAGTGATTGGGGGAGTTTACAATAAACCTAAGTGTTTAAAGTGTCAAAAAGGAAAAGGCAGGCAGTGGCTGCTAAGTGGCTGTCTGGCTTGCTGTGCCTTTCCCTGGGTATCTGGGCAGCTGAGCCCCTACCACATCCTCGGGTCACTGCATGTCTGAGGCCTCTGTGGGAGCCTTTTCAAGGGAAAAGTTTAAACTGGCATAATTCCTCTCTAGAATGCCCCAGTAGCCCCAGTGCCCAGGCCTACATATGATCCGTGGGCTGCCCCTGCCTGGCCCTTACTCCTGCTCACATCTTGTCCCTTAGAAAGGGGCACAGTCTTCTACTCTTTGGACCATTAATTAAACTGGAGTGGATTCAGTGGTCATTTACCATTTTACACCCCCTGACATCCCCTCGTGTGGTGGAATTCCCCATAGTTTGGTTTCCTGTTTGGAAATGTAAGCTCCTGTGTCATTGGACAATGTGGAAAAGCTTGGCTTTTGTTGTTTACCATTCAAGCTTGGATGGGTTGCTTAAGTTCTGAGCTTTGGTTCTTTTTCTCATCTGTAAGATGGGACCTGTACCACAGAGCTGGATGTGAAATATCCTTGTGCAGAATCCTTGTGCAAAAAAATACATATTTCCTCTGCTTCCCACTGTAGGGAGCTTCCTGGGTTTTGTTTCTTTGTTTTCATCAAATGTTTATTGTGTGTCCTTCACAATGCCAGGCGTTCTAGAGAAATACAAAGGTGACACAGCCCTGGCCCTGCATCTGAAAGTCAGTCCTCACCTCAGCCTTCAGGACCCCAGCTTGCGTGGACTGAGGCCCTTGTGTGCTGCTGAGTGGAAGCCACTGCCCTGAAGGCAGGCCATGGCTTGCGCCCCTACCCTCATTTCCTTTGTTGTCCCTGCTTTAGCAGAGGGGTAATGAGCTAGCAATCTAGCTTTGCCCTCAGCAGGCTCCAGGGGCTCCCTGGGGCGTCAGTTAGTTATGGAGGGATCGAGCTAGAGGCTGCTCTGCCACCCAGCTGAGGTAAACAGATTTGGGGTGGGGCACCTCAGGCCTGGAAGAAATGCGGAAAAGGCAGGTAGCGTGCACTCGCTGGCCCCCAGCTCATTCATTGTGTGTCTAGTTGTATTTTGTGCCACTGTAACAGAGCACCACAGACTGGATAATCTTTAAAAAAAAGCAATATTCTTATTCATCTGGAGGCTGAGAAGTCTAATATCAAGGTACTAGCATCTGGCAAAGGCCCTCTTGCTGCATCACCCCATAATGGAAGGTGAAAAAGCAAGAGATCAAGAAGGGGCTGAACCCAAGGGAACAGACCCGCTCCTGTGATAGTGACATTCACCCATTCAGGAAGGCAGAGCCCCCATGACATCATCACCTCTTATTAGGCCTACCTCTTTTTTTTTTTTGAGACAGTCTCACTTTGTCACCCTTGGTAGAGTGCTATGGCGTCACAGCTCACAGCAACCTCAAACTCTTGGGCTCAAGCTGGGATTACAGGTGCCCACCACAATGCCTGGCTGTTTTTAGAGACAAGGTCTCCCTTTGACTCAGGCTGGTCTCTAACCTGTGAGCTCAGACATCCACTCACCTCAGCCTCCCAGAGTGCTAGGATTGTAGGCCTACCTCCTGACACTGTTGCATTGGGGTTAAGTTACCAACACACGAACTTTGGGGGGCACATCCAAAACAGCACTGAGTGTCTGGACAGCTGGCCTTCCCCACGTCCTTGCCCTGTTTGGTTAGTCATCTTTCTATGCAGGAGCAGCGGTGGGGAAAGTAATATTTGAAGCTCACTTCCTAAAGAGAAGACAAAGAGAAAGCTTTGTAAAAGAAAGGTGTGTAAAAGAATAAAATTAATTCTATAGGGCGTTGCCTGTGGCTCAGTGAGTAGGGCACTGGCCCCATGTGCCGAGAGTGGGGGGTTCAAACCCGGCCCAGCCAAACTGCAACAACAAAAAAATAGCTGGGGGGTGTGGCGGGCACCTGTAGTCCCAGCTACTCAGGAGGCTGAGGCAAGAGAATCACTTAAGTCCAAGAGCTGGAGGTTGCTGTGAGCTGTGATGTTATAGCACTCTACTGAGGGCAACAAAGTGAGATTCTGTCTCTAAAAAAAAAAAAAAAAAAAATTAAATTAATTCTATAGAGATCTTAGCTTTGTGAAATACCATTGCTTTATGATGCCAACCAAATGAAGTGTTAGTGTTCAGCAGACCACATGCTGAAAGTGGTCAGTACTGATGCAGCAAAGTTCTACGAGGGGAGGTAGGGCAGTGCTATAACCTGGTGTCCTGGTACTTCAAGAAGTGTTCATGGAGATGGTATAAAAGACCAACAGCTCTGCCTCTATTCCTCTGAGCTCAGTGTGCCCCACTGTGATATGGGCACAACACCTGCCACCCAGCAGGGCATGAGCCACGCAGGGGCCTGGCACTTAATAAAATAAATGCTCCATAAGTGACTTTGTTCTCTTGTTCTGGGTGAGATGTGAAAGAAACAGGAAAGGAAGGGGGAACATTGGTTCTGGGGGTGGGAATCACAGCCCTGGAGCAAGGCAGGGCTAAACTCCAGTGACCCCAAATCCATTCCTTCACTTCTCTGAAAATCTGTTCTCTCATCAGCAACTTGGGAAACATCCCCTCTAAAGCCTTTAGGTCACAGTCTGTCCTGTGGTCAGTTCTCATTAGGTAGAAGCTGCTATCTTCTGCAGCTGTTGTCATCATCCCTGGGAGAACCAAGGGAAAGAGACTCACCAATGGGCATAGACTACCCTCAAACTGTACAAAAGCAATTCATGTAACCAAAAATCTATACCCATATAATCTGAAATTTAAAAAAAATTATGAAAAGAAAAATCTGTAGCTTGGAAAACAAAGTGTATTGCTTATCTCTCTGGCTGCCTTTGGGCTTCACCTCAGTCTAAATCCAGGGTTGACATCATTCATTAACTACATGCAAGTGAAGGCCAGAGGCCTGTGCAGCCATCCCCAACCCCTTCCTCCCCGCAGGTGAGGGACCTGCTTTGAGGATTCCTATGATGTCTCTTGTAGATGAAGCCCATGAATGTGGAATATCTCATGATGGACGCCTCCATCCTGCTTCCTCCAACAGGCACGCCGCTAACAGGCATTGACTTTGTGAAGCGGCTGCCATGTGGTGACGTGGAGAAGACCCGGCGGGTGAGTGAGCGCTGGACCTGTCCTTTCCTGAACAGCTATTCACTAGAACTTGTCCCGGGTCAGGGAGCATAGGGTCTCTGGGTCAAAGGCAGAGTCTGCCTGGAATATAGCTTAGCTAGCAAGTGGAAAGCGTCTGCTGCTAGGTGTGCCTTTCCAAGTCATGCTGCCCTTTGAACAGTGAGGATTGGAATTCCGTTACATCTGGCATTGGTGTTGGCTGAAGGCAGGTTGCCTTCCCTGGTAGAGAGCACAGCTCCAACTCCTGAGCTCAGAGAGTGGAAGCAGGGCAGGAGGGGGAGGAGCGTGGTACATCCAGTGCAAGTGAGGTTGGTGTGAAATCTTAGCCCAGCGATCTCAGGAGTCTCAGAGATAGTGTGATGTTTAGTTATCTGACTGATCTTGGGACTAGGCACACACATATGAACGTGATTCTTGCCAGGCTGTGGGAGGAATGTATGTGAAGAGCAGATTAGTTCTCAGAACCAGCTGGAGTGTGTACTTCTGTTATCAGCACTTTTTTTCTGAAGCAGGCACTCTAGGAAGCGGTCTCGGCAAGGCTGTTCACAGTATTTTATCTCCCACATAATATCATAGTTTCTTTCTTAGAAAGCACCATAACCTTTTCCTAGAAAATCATTCCCTGGAGACTTGAATATTAGTGGATAATTTAGAGGCGTTCACTGCATGCTCCTATTGTCAGCCTTCTGAGTCTTCTAAGTTAATCTATGTGTGACCAGAGCAGCAGAGGTGTTTCACTTTTGGATTCTGCAAAATAGGAATGACCTGCCACGTGCACCTCAGGAAAGAGGAGTCTGCGATCCTCCTATAGCAGCCTAAAGATTTGCTTTGGAGGCCTGGGGGTACAGAGGAAGTGGGAGCCATGTGTCTTGAGTCAATCACATTCCCAGCTGTCTGACCAAACCCACAGACCTCACCACAGGACCCACCCTGTCCAAGCCACTGACTCCTTCTTTCCGTTGGTCCCAGCCGGTGCTGTAACCCTGCTGGCCAGGCACACAATTTTGTTTGTGGGTGGTAGTGTTGCAGTGGGTGTCCTTGGCATCAGCTTTCACTGGAGGACTGGTGCCAACAAATATATATCATGCTGGCAACTCCTGGATGCTGACACGCTCACCCTTAGCCTTCAGTTGGCCTTTGATGTGCTCCTCCAGCCAGAGACGCAAATCCCCATGCTAAGAGCGCCCTGCCTCAGAGGGTTGCCCTAGCCCATGAGCCAGAAAGCCCAGAGAACTCAACATTGACACTGTTGCTCCCAAGTTACACTCTGCCTTCTTTAGGTTCATGGTTCGTCAAAATATTTCTTACATCCTGTACAAACCTGTAGCCTTTGTTAGGAAGTGGACCATTCATTTCAGTTCTTTAAGTGGATTTTCTCATTTAATTCTATAACCACTCTAGAAGATTGGCACTATCACTGTCCCCAAGGCCACCCAGCTAGTAAGTATTTGAACCCAGGCAGTGTGGCCTGCAGAGTCTAGACTCTTAAGCACTTCCATCCACTGCTTCCCTCTGTTGCCTTCATCATATCTATTAGCCCTAGTCAGGCTGGACATGGGGACATCAAAAACACAGCCCCAATCCTCAAGGAATCCAGGTCTAGAGGGCAAGATGGGAAAAGACAGCAGCAGGTCATATGGCCAGGGCCATCAGTAAAGCAGCATTAGGTCAGGTTCCTAAGCCTTCCTGGAAAGGGAGGTAGCACAGAATGTAGCACATTCTGGCACTTCCAAGGAGATGATTGCAGCTAAGACCCAGAGTGGGTAGCACTGGGGTCGGTGGACCTGGCAGGAGTCAGATCACTGGAGCCTGGAGAGGGTCTTGCCCATCACCTCATAACTCTGTTTCGTGACATCCTGCTTGCTGGTTGGGGCAGACAGTTTTGATCCACAGATGAGAAATGCAGGGGTGAGGCACCTGTCCGCTGTGAGCCCCCATCTCTCTTCATCTGTTGGTGGAATGCACCTGCCTTTCCAGAGTCATTGTGAGGCGTGGTGGAGGCCTCAACACAAGAGGCTGACACTAAGTCCTTCACTGTCATAGTCTCTTCCCTTTGCCCCTCACTGATCACGTAGTTGGGGGTTCCCAGGGCTGTGCTGCCCGCCTCTCTTGCCCTGGGTGGGATGTGTAGCCCAGATGGCTACCGAAGCACAGACAGAGCCCCTGGAATGTCGGGACTTGCCTGGGGTTTCTTACTGGGCCTTAGTCTGTCTGGCTAGTGTATAAAAGTAACTCAAATTCTAGACGCCCTGGGCAGAATGATCTAAAATAAGACAAGCCACCCCCAAACAAAGTCATCTACTTTTCAAAAGCTTCCTTTTGTGACTTTAGGAATTAATATCTGAAGGGGGATTTGGCCATTCATCCAGGCCAGTTCCTGTTACAAGGCAAATGGCTAGAATCATCTAGAAGCTTCACTCCTCAAGCTTATTTAAAAAATCAGCACAGCAGTGTGCTTTGACTTTGAGCTAAAGGAAGTTATACGGTTTGGTAAGCAATTGAAGACTTATGTGGTTTGTTTCAAGCCTTTTTGCTTATATCCAAAGAACATTCCATTTTATCCCTTTGGATTCCAAGGGGTGTGGGGGGGTTATCCATTTTTTTTTTTTTCTTATTAAGACTTTTTTAACTTTTGGGAGGCTTGTCCTTCTCTGAATTCCACACTTTATTTTCCTTCAGGACTTGTCAGAGAAGTTCAAACATTCATTACTGGTAAATCATCCCTAACTTCTGAAATACTCATTCATACATTCATTCAGAGCCACTGGATTCCTCTTATATGCCACACACTGTGCAGAGCCTGGGGGTGTAAAAGTGACTGTGTCCCTGTTTTCTCAACCTCTCTCTGTCTTTACCTAGACAGGTAAAGTTTATTAACACATAGAGAGTAGCAGGTTTGAGATCAGACTGCAGTCGACACGTAGAGGAAAGAAATGGCATGATGTGGCCGGGGGCTTGTGGAGTTAGGGGGCCTTCCTGTAGATGAGTGATTAGTAAAAGCTACTCTGCAAAGGGGACATCTGAGCTGAAACCTAGAGGATGAGAAGGAGCCAGAAAAGAGAGTTAAAGGAGGGGAACAGCATGTGCCAAGTTTTCAAGATGCCACAGAGTGTGGTGTGTTTATGGAGCAGAGCAAGTGAAGGGGAGGAGGGTGGCAGCACTTTGCAGCCCATGGGGAGGGATCTCGCTATAACGTTGCTTCCCCTCTTGCATTGTGTAGGTAACACCATTTTATTCCTTCAATTGACATATATAGAGCATTTCCTAGGTGTCAGGCATTGCCTAAGATGAAGAATAGAACAGTCAACAAATAATATGAGACCAAAATAACAAGGGTGCCACTGAGCCACGCTGGCTGAGAAGGAAGGTTCATGTTGAAATGAAGGTCACCGGAGCTATAGGGTCCGATGATGTGGGCCAGACCCATCCCACTTATAGAGGCTGTTGAGAGACATAGTAAAGAAAGAACATGAGTTCATGAGTCTGACCAACCCAACCGCAGGTCAAGCCCCAGCTCTAGTTGTGTGACCTTGAGCCTCAGGTTCCTGGTCCTACCTCTCAGCTGTTGCCCACAGCAAGGTGAAAGAGAGGCTGTGAAGTGACGAACCCAGTGTTTGGCAGAGAGTAAGGGCTCAGGAAGTATTGGCTGAATAGTGAGGCATTGTTCTAGCATCTTAGGTGGGAATGAAATAGGGTCTTTAATGATTTAAATCTGCTGAAAATGATTCTAGAGATAAGTGTTAGGGATAGCATTTTCTGTAAAATCAACATCCAAATCTAAGCTACTAGCCATCTGTATATAGTAATCTTAGAAGCTATTATGAAATCAGTGTATTTGCATGAGGTTTTATTTATTTATTTATTTGAGACAGAGCCTCAAGCTGTCCCCCTGGGTAGAGTGCTGTGGCATCACAGCTCACAGCAACTTCTAACTCCTGGGCTCAGCCTCCCAAGTAGCTGGGACCACAGGCACCCGCCACAGTGCCTGACTATTTTTTGGTTGCAGCTGTCATTGTTGTTTTGGTGGGCCCGGGCTACATTTGGACCCACCACCCTAGGTGTATGTGGCTGGTGCCTTAGCCACCTGAGCCACAGGCTCTGAGCCTGCATGAGGTTTTATTTATTCCTGCTTTCTGTTTCCCTGTTCTCTTGTAAAACCACAAGCAGTTTTTGTGTTTGTTGCAATTGACCTTGAGGAAGCAGGATATTTTGCTTTACTTTTTGAATGTGTATTGTATCTTAAAGAAAATACAATAATATCTCATAAAATTTCAGAAGTAAAAGAAAAAGAATTTCCCATGATTTCTTCACCCTAAACAAACAACATCTTTTGTGTCTCTTCCCTATCTTGGTTTGCAGACACATCTTTTTTTTTTTCTTTTTGGAAACAGAGTTTCATTTTGCCACCCTCAGTAGAGTGCTGAGCTCTCAGCAACCCCAAACTCTTAGGTGTGTCAGAGCTCACAGCAACCTCAAACTCTTAGGCTCAAGCGATTCTCTTGCCACAGCCTCCCAAGTAGCTGGGACCACAAGCACCTGCCACAACACTTGGCTATTTTTAGAGATGGGGTCTTGCTCTTGCTCTTGCTGGTCTCAAACCCGTGAGCTCTGGGCGGTCCACCTGCCTTGGCCTCCCAGAGTGCTAGGATTACAGTTGTGAGCTACCACATAATCAACTAAAATGTCTACCAGCAGGAAAATGCCAGATAAATTTTTTGCAGCCACAAGAAAACTACATCATAACATGAAAAAAAAAAACTTCTAATGCTACAATGAAAAGAAAAAAAGACGGGGATACTCTTAGAATATACTGTGGTCTTGCTCTCATCCCCCCTCCTTTTTTCTTTTTATTGTAGCGTGAGAAGTCTTTTATGTTATGATGTAGTTAATAAATCTGATTTTTTGTGGCTGTAAAAAAGTTTGTCTGGCATTTTCCTGCTAGTAGACATTTTGGTTGATTATATTATTTTCAACTATAATGAGCAACTTCATGAATACAGAGTTTTCTTTCTTTTGAATTATTTCTTTAGGATAAGTTCCCAGAAGTGGGTTTTGCCCGTGTTAATGTGCTTCAGCACTCTTAACAATGACTGACTTTCACAGCTATTTCCCTGGTCTTGGGAGACTTCTAACCTATGTGACTGTCACCTAACCTGAGCTTGCAAATGCAGCAAGGAAGCAGGAGGGAGAGGACTGCAAGGTTGCCTCAGGGCCAGCTCAAGGCTCAGTGCATCACCTGTGCCACTTATTGCACCTTCACAGTGCATACCCTATGGGCATCCCGTTTCCAGAGCATAAGCCTGGGCTCCAGGAATTCATGTACTTACCTAACCCCCATCTTGAACCATAGTCTGACTCCAGAGCCCTCTTCTTGCCATGCTCATTGGACTGATATCCGGGGTACATTGAGTTTGCCGGAGTTTGTTCCCAGATCCACTGAAGCAAAGAAACTGGAAAAGTCTCTTTATGTTATATTTAATCTTGGTCAGCTATCACCCATTTCAAAATCTATTCTTCTAGGGTCAGTCTTCCTGGTGTTCTATGGAAGAATTTGAAAGAATAACAATTTCTTTTCCTTTTTAGTAAATTTGCATCTTTATTTAGCAAAGAAATGGAAAGCACTTTATAAAACCCTGGGTCCCAAGCCTTAAATCTTTTAAAGGCCAAGGAGTGTGATCCAAGGAGTGCAATCCAGTTATTTATTGAATGACCTTGGGGGGTCTGCCTGTCTCCCAGGGCTTTGATTTCCTCATCTGTAAGGCGGGAACCACACAGTATTATTAAGAGGCTTGAATGAGATGACACTACTCAGGGAATGGGTGATCAAAGGGAGTAGTTATTGTTTTGGCAGGTGGTAGGATGAATTTTATGACACTAATCCTGGTATTTTAACTTTCTTTTATGAATTATTAAAGTGTGGGGCTGGTTGATGTGCCTGCCAGACCATTATAGCCCAAGTGGAGCATCTTGCCCTGTGGAAATCAGCTCTCCTCCCATTTCTGGGCATGGGCTTCTCCTGCACGCTTCCTTCTCTTAGGAGCTGGAGGAAGAACCAGGAAAAATCTTGGTGGATTTTATTTTACAGTCATCCCTCCATATCTGTCAGGGATCCCAAAATCCACAGATACTTGAGTCCGTTATATAATGGGGCATAGATAGTATAAATTTACATTTAACCTACACACATCCTCTCTACGCTTTATGTAGATACAATGTAAAATACAGAGTGTATAACTGTTGTTATACAGTATTGTTAGGGAATAAAGTCTGTATGTGTTTATTAGTGTAGACATAACCATCCATTTTTTTTCTTAAGTATTTTCTTTTTCTTTTTTTGTAGAGACAGAGTCTCACTTTATCACCATTGGTAGAGTGCCATGGTGTCACACAGCACATAGCAACCTCCAACTCCTGGGCTTAGGTGATTCTCTTGCCTCAGTCTCCCAGTAGCTAGGACTGCAGGCGCCTGCCACAACACCTGGCTATTTTTTTGTTGCAGTTTGACTGGGGCCGAGTTTGAACCCGCTACCCTTGGTATATGGGGCTGGCACCCTATCCACTGAGCCACAGGTGCTGCCCTTCTTAAATATTTTCAATCTGTAGTTGGTTGAATTCACCAATGCAGAACCCATGGATACAGAGTGCTGGCTGTATATGTTTTATATTCTATTTCATGTTGTTGGTTTTTTGTGGGGTTTTTTTTTTTTTTTTTTTGGTATTTATTTGCTGTTTACCAAGCAAAGCAGATGTTTTATCAAAAAGTAGCCCAATTCTGAACTCCTTTTTTGTTTATTAGAAGGCTCCAGGTTTTCGGAGTGATGGGCTATAGAAAGCCATACGTGTTTGTTTTCTCTCTAGTAGCTGGGGTCCTTCTTTGGTTCTTTTCCTTCAGAACCCCAAGAGAAATGGAGGTTTTGACACAGAAATGAAACATCCTTTCAACTTGGACCTGATTGGGTTAGGCCTCCCCCACCCCCTGTTGTGCCTGAGGTCCTAACTCTTTGAGAGCTAAAGCTGCCAGATATTTTTTTGTATATATTTACCCACAGATATTTTGGGTAAATTTTCACATTTTGGGTTTTCTGCACTTGGGCTGGCATAGGTGTTCTCTAGTGCACTTGGTTAAGTAACATAAGTACCAGACATTCCTGGCTTCAAACTCCAACTCAGCCACTTAACAGCTGTTTGAACTGAAATTGCTCTGCTCCTCTCAGCTCCATTTATTCCTCCATAAAATATTAAAGTTGCAATGAGGTATCCACAGTTTTAATAGGTATACAGTAAGTACTTAATAAATAGAAACTCTTTTGGCTTTTTTAATAGAACTGTGCCTCTTTAAAAACTGTTAAAAATAATCAGGGCCAGGTATAGGTTAATACCTAGAATTCCAGCACTTTGAGAAGATCTCTTGAGGCCACATGTTTGAGACCAGCCTGGGATGGTGAGGCTGGCACCCAATGAGACTTCATCTCTACAAAAAATTAAAAAATAAGTAGGCATGGTGGTACATGCCTGTAGTCCCAGCTACTCTGGAGGCTGAGGTGGGAGGATCACTTGAGCCCTGGAGTTTGAGGCTGCAGTGAGCTATGCTGATGCCACTGCACTCCAGCCTAGGAAACAGAGCATTCCTTTAAAGAAAAAAAAGAATGATCAGATACTGAGGCTACCACCACCATCACCTTCATTACAGTATAAAAGCTTATCTTTCTCTAGTGCTTTGTAGTTTACAAAGAAGACTACATTCCCCACAATAGGACAAGGAGGTAGAATTGCTCTTCTAGTTTCTAGGGTAGGAGGTGGGGCTGTGCCAGGGTTAGGGTTCAAGCATGCTGGTCAATGTACCTGTTGCCTGCATAGAGGTAGGACCAGCTCTTCACAGGCACTAATTTGTCCGCTTTCTTCTTTGGGGAGACACTTGCTGTACAAAGGGCCCCTCCTCTCACATAGGCCTGGACTGTAGCCCTCAGAAGTACAAACAAGAAGACCCAGAGTGTACTGGAATTCACCTGTGCACAGCTCACACTGGTGGTGACAGGTGCTTATTAAATGTCTGGGTGGCCACCCTACTGTACAACACTGTGCTAGTTGCTTCCTTCCAGCATTATCTCAGAACCTCCTAGCTGCCCATTTCACAGATGAGGAAAATAAAGATTGCAGGGGTTAGGGCAGTGGTTCTCAACCTTCCTAATGCCCTGACCCACTAGTTCCTCATGTTGTGGTTACCTCCAACCATAAAATTATTTTCGTTGCTACTTCATAACTGTAACTTTGCTAATGTTATGAATCGTAATGTAAATATCTGATATGCAGTATGGTCTTAGGCAACCCCTGTGAAAGGGTCGTTTGACCCCCAAAAGAGGTCACAATCCACAGGTTGAGAACTGCTGGGTTAGGGGCTTGCCCATAGCAGCAGAGCTGGGCATCCACTGCAAACCTGTCCAACTGGCTCTGGAGCTGTTTTCCCTGGAATGCTGCCCTCTCAGGCAGGCCTATCAGCTATATGCAAGGAGGGAGGTCTGAGGTACCTTCTCATGGAACCACCCCTCTGCTTCCTGACTCTGGTTGGTCAGCAGCCTATTCTGGGGCTGAAGGCTGCTTTCTGCACAAACTTCTCTGCCTTCTGAAGAATCTGCTTTTTTTCTTTTCTCTGGAAATGCCTGATGGCTGTGTGATTCTGACCACAGGAACCTCTGTGCTGACAGAGCCACCTCTGCCCCATCAGCAGCACACTACCCATCATAAGGCTGAGGGGCTGAGAGGTGAAGAGAGTCACCCAGACTCACAGGTGTGTCTAACCTGTGGCCCACAGGCTGCAGGCAGATTACGTGAGGACTTTTTTGCTTATCTGTGGTAGTGGATATTACAAAAAGTACGCATGGACCTTGGGGTTTTTGTGCTCATTAGCTTTCTTTAGTGTTTGTATATTTAATGTGTGGCCTATGACAACTCTCCTTTTTCCAATGTGGCATAGAGAAGCCAAAAGGTTGGACATCCCTGAGAGGTAGGCTTTTCATCATGTCTCTCTGGCTCTGAAGTCCACAGACATCTCACCCTCATTTGTCTCTCCTACCCCCAGTAGGTGGGACCTTAAAACCCTTCAACTAGTGATTTGGATTTCCAAAGTCCATGCTGGTTTAGTTGAAACAGACCTGAGTTCTAGCTCTCCTTAGAAGCATAGCCTTGGATAGGTCACTTCACTTCCTTAGATTTCAGTTGCTTGGTCTGTGAAATGGGAGTAACTGCTGGGCAGGGGCACAGCAAATGTCTTTGACATGTGAGGACAAAGTCTAGCAGGTAACAGGTGCTTGGATCAGGTAAAGTGACCCAAACATGAACCTGTGGATAACTGAAAACAGGCAGCCCCCCACCTTTAATTTTTTTTATCCAAAATATTAGAAGAAGTAGGCTTCATTGTGTTTGTTTCTTTTTTAAAAATCAAGAGTCATTGAGTAATTTCCTGATGGGGCATCTCGCTGAAATGACTGCGATTCCATTCCTCTCTGCCCTTTGACTATTGCTTTAGGCCATCCGGGTATTCTTCATGCTGCGTTCCCTGTCACTGCAGCTGCGAGGAGAGCCTGAGACCCAGTTGCCACTGACTCGGGAGGAGGATCTGATCAAAACAGATGATGTCTTGGATCTGAGTAAGTTGGCCACCTTGAGTTGGCAGGAGGCGGGGTTCACAGAACAGTGCCCTACTGACACTTGCACCACTGGGACAGTCAATATGCAACTTGCACTTTGTATTACAGCAGTACTAGTTTGACTGGGTTTTATGTGTTAACAATTTTCTATATGATTCTAATAATAAGAGGATTCTTCTGCTAAAGAAAGAAACTTGGCAAAAACAAATCACCAGTGTTTATTAAAGATGAGAGTTTTAGAGGCCAGAGAACCGTGTGCTCAGAGTGTATCCTTGGGTTAGCTGTTGAATCCTGCATTGCCTTAATGTTCTCATCTGCAACACAAGACTGGGATTTAAGTGAGACAGTGAGTGTGAAGCCTAGTCATGTTCCAGAACCCTTGTTCTTGTGTAGCTTTCTCTTTCCTCCCTTTGCACTGGGGCATGGACCTTTCTTAAGGCATTGTGGTATATCAGGAGTCTGGTTATCAGAGACAGAAAACTCAGATAAGACTTTAAAGAGAAAGAAAAGGGAATTGGCTGATGTCACTGGAAGTCCAGTGCTGCCTTGGACATGTCTGGATCTAGATACTCAGTATCATCGGGAAGTTGCCCTTCTCCCTCTCTTCGCTCTGCTTTCCTCTGTGCCAGCTTCATCCTCAGGAGGCCCTCACCAGCTCATGGCAAGATGGCTGTCCACAGCCCAAGGGTCTGTTGAGCCCGATAAGCAGCCCCAACGGAAAGGCAGCTGAGAACTGCTCTTTCTTTTCAACTTACATAAAAATCTAGGGTAGAGCTCATATTGTCCTGGTTTGGGTCATGTGACATCCCTAAACAGCCAGTGGTCAGAGAAATGTGATCCACTGGTTAGCTAAACCAGGGTCACATGGCCAGCCCTGAAGCTGGAAGAAGGATCAGTTCCTGTTGAACCCTGGTCACCTGAGAGAAAGGAAGGAGTAAAATCACAAAGAAAGGGTGGAGTCTGGGCAGGCAGAAACAACACATGGCTACTCTCTGCAGTATTGTTGTTCTAAGCCAGCTTTATTGAGGTATAACTTACATGTAGTAAAGCTCACCAACCTTTAGTGTCTAAATTCAGTGCATTTTGATCAGCTATTAAGTTGTGACATAGACCATTGAGTTTGGCTTTTGAGCCAGACATCCCTGCACTACTTAGTATCCCCCTGAGCAACGACTGAAAGCTGCACAACCTCCATTACCTTGCCTACAAAATGGGATATCTTCCTTACTTTACAAGGTTATTTTGAGGATTGAATGAAATAGGATATGAAATGCCATGTGATCAAGGATAATGCCTCACATATAACTGTGCTTAGCAAGCCACAGTCAGTATCACCTGCTAATTTAAAAAGGTGATATATGGAAAGAGCACAGCACACTGCCTGACACAGAGATGGTTCTCAGTGAGTGAGTATGGTGAGTCTTACCTGGTTGTCTACTTCCCATGGCCTTCGTCTTGTTTGTGCTGTTTCATCTCTCCCTTTGTTAGAAGAACAAAGAAGCTATGTCCCCTCTCAGTTCCATGCTCCTGTCCTCTAGCCCTTTCACCCTTGAGAAATGGCCACAGAGATTTCTGTAAGAGTTTAAATTGATTGAGTTGGCTGGAGAGAATCATAAACCAGTCTTTATCTGATTTGATTCAAGGAGAGAAAGGGAAACAGCTGGTTTAGAGGGGGCCACTCTATCAGGGCAGCAAGAATGTTTGCATCCGTGAAATGGAATTAAATTTAATGCTGGGAATTCTTTCCCCATCCCCCTAGGAACAGCTCGCTGAAATAAAGGTTAAAAGTATTTCACTTATCAATTTTAATTGATTAGATTGCTAGTTGAGATCACTGAACTGAGCCCTTTTGGGTAGTTGGCCATTAAGAATGTAATGGCTGTCTGTCTTTACCTAGCCTGATTGCAAATTATGTCTTTTGCTGAAGAGGGTGATATTCAGAAAATACTAGGATTTATGGATTTTAAGAGCATATGGTACTAGAATAAGATATGTCTCTGAGGATGGTTGGCTGTTTTTTCTTTTCAATTGCAAATGCTGGAGCTTCTCACCTGCCATTGAGGGAAAAAGTTACCATATTCTACATTAGACAAATGCCTTCTGTATATATAAAATGTAGGTGAAAGCATTTATATTTGCTGAATGATTGAAGCTAGGCATGTTTTTGTCTCCCTGGTGACCTTGAAGAAGCTGACTCAGTGAGAGATGGTTGGGACTGGTCACCCTTTATCTAACTTGATCTGTCTGATAGGCTTAAAGGAATGCCATCTCCTCATGGTAGGAAGAGGTGACGTAAAGTGTGTTTACTGAGCTCATCACACTTTGATAAAAAGCCACAACTGTAAGGAGAGTTCCCCAGAAGCCATCTCAAGTGTTTGCTGCCTAGCAGCAGGTCTCTGGGCAGAGTGTAACAGGCAAGCCCTGGCACAAAAGGGACTTTTGACAAAGAACATCAAAGATGTGATCACCATTTGGTAAGGAGGCAAACTGACCATGCTTAAAGCAAAGCCCGTTTTGTTTTTTGGTATACAGGAGAGTGGCGTGGGTCGGAGTCACAGACTGGCAGCTAGGTGGGCTGTTTGTGCTGGGATGGGGGAGGGGAGGGAGGGAGGGAGGACTCAATAAAACAGATTAGCGTTTTAGAGCAGATAGCATCATGAATCTCCATACACCCAGCCCTCAGCTTCAACAGTTATTACCAGTTTGCTAAGTTTTATTTGATCTACCCCATCATTTCATTTTAAAAAATACTCTTCCTACCCATGCAGTGTATTAAAACAAAAGGAAGATGTCATACATATTATTACATCTATAAATATTTCTAATAGATAAGGACTTTGCATTGTTCTTCTCAAATTGGTTGCCACTATTTGCAAACTGAGTACCCCCCTAGCCCTGGGTGCTGCTTTGGGCTGCACATGTGGGACTGAGGCAGCGCCAGCCCAGCCTCATCGACTGATGTTTGATTTTGCACCTGTTGGTGAAGTTGGACGTAGTCAGCTTTCTGACCTTCCCCAGAGTCCTAATGCCTGTGAGGCTCAGTGGCTTTATCTTTAAAATGGGCCTAAGAGGCCAGAGGAAGTGGCTTATGCCTGTAATCCTAGCACTCTTAGGAGGCAAACGAATTACAAGAGCAAAACTCATGGTCTCTTCAAGCTCACAGTCTTATGGGGGAGGCAGACACTGATTAACAGTATCCCATGGGCCACAGTCAGATGGCCATTGTGCTATTGCTCTGAGAGCAAGGAAGGGGGTTGACCTGGCCAGAGGTCAAGGAGGCCAGTGAAGGAGCAACGACCCATCTGAAGTCTAGATGTGGATGTGGACTGATGGAAGCATGGCCAAAGGGCTTGGCACGGGGACAATAAAGGTGATTGTGAGGTGAGGCTGGGAGGAAGCCTTATAGGGCCTGAGGGCACATCTAGGATTCAGGTCTTATCCTAAGAACAGTGAGTAGCTGATGTAGTCATATTTGGATTTAAAAGGCTCTGTCTGGCCTCAGTGTGAAGGGTAGATTTCTGGTTCAAGGCAGCATTATCTAGGTCAGGGAGCCCTCTTAGGAGGCCAAACCCAAAAGGCCTGTTTTACAGAAGTGTCTGTAAGGTGGTATCCACACGTGGCTTGCACACTCTGGTTTGCCCCAGGGAATTGTTCTTGACTACTGCTCTCTTCTGCAGCTTGGCATGGGTGCAGAGGCTCTT